TTAAACTAAATACAGATTATTATTATTATTATTATTTTTTAAGCTTGCAAGTTTTGATGAAGTGAAAAGGCAACAAGCACATACAACTTGAAAACATCCAGCAGAAGAGTTCCCCAGTTTCCACCGTTTCCCATCGGCTCTAACAGCAGATGTCAAGAAGCTCCCCTTGAATTTGCTTCAAAAGCTGATAAAAAGGATCCCTAGAACTGCTTTCACTTTGCGGTGCTGATCCACAGGTCTCTCACATATACTTCTATCGAAGCCTTGCGGTTTCATATCCTCACTGATCCCACCTGCAGCCGACCACCCTCCCAGCAACAAGTGTGACTGCAGCAGGTCCATCCTCCCTCCTTTGCTCCAAGGAGACAGGAGCAAATATCTTTTTGCTGAAAGCCACCCATTCTGCCGGCAGCGACCTTTCCTTTCTCCTTCGAGGCAGCCGCTGGGTTGTGAAAGAGCTGCAGCGGTATGACAGCCCTGAGAAACCAGAAGTCTATCAGTGGAGGAGGGGCGATGCTGGCGGCCAGTGATAACCACCCAGGGTGCAACGATAACTCAGGCAGTTGGCTTTGCTTGCCCTCCACCCATGAAAAACAGAACGTGGGAAAACCTGACCCTCGCCAAGTGGGGATGGGAAAGGCAACGGTTCACTTCGATTCTGCAGAGATCCCCCCAAACCTGCCTGCTCACCATGACACAGAGGCTGGTCACCAGCAGCTGGCACTTGGTGGTCCTCATCCCGCATCTCAGTCCCATGGCTGCTTGTCCCCAGAGAGAGCTGGCAGTTGGTCCCTCCAGCTCTTGATAAAGCCTATGTTTCCACCAAAGGGAGGCATGGCCACAGCGGGGCCTCTTGGGAAGTGTAGTCCCCACCACGTGCCGATGCACCTCCTCCTGCCCTATTATTAAATCCTGTTTAGAGCAGCTGCCTTCTGCCTGGGCTTTCGGTGGGCTGCCATCAGCTCCAACACACAGCCAGCTGGGAAAGAAGGAAAGGCATACAGAAAAACAGCCTTTCATGGAGTTCGGAGCAAATCTCCTTAAAATTTTTTTTGAAACTGTTAAATCAAGAGTCAGTATCAAAATACTCTGTTTTTCGCTTTCACTGGGACGCAGTTTTGCTTAAGGAACATTGTCACTAACTATTTTTTTTTAAATCTGCATAAATAGTATCTTGGGAAAAAGTTTAGGAAAATGTTATTTAGAAAAAAATAACCTGTTGTTTAAAGAAGAATCAAAACCCCCAAATAGATCTGCATAAGAGTCTTTCCTTCCCCATTTAAAAAATGTCACATGGCAATAAACTTTGGCTGAGACTCTATTAAAACTTCTATTTGCAGACGAGGGAAAAAAATCCCTTTGGTAGTATTTTATTCAGGAAAATGGCTATATGTAAATATAACCCCCTGCTCAGGAGACCCTCACTGTCCATGGACATTTTGACTCTGTCCTTTCCCCTCTCCTAGCACTGAAGATCCCATGGACCCATGGCTACAGAAGACTCAGGTGATTTCTGGTCCTCAAAAGCAGCTGCCTGCTGGATGCATATTTCCCGAAAGTAAATCGCAAAGAAGCCTCAAGAACCATCTGGCCAAAGGGAGGCTGAATGACTGACTGCCTTAATCATCCTTGGTTTCAGAGCAAGACTGGTGGAAAAGAGGTGAAACAGAATAATGGAAAATAGTCACTCTCCCCCCAGATGGCAAAGAAAGGGGGGGGGAAGGTAAAACCATCCCACATCAGTAACTGTAGCTACAGGAAAATGACAAAGAAGGAGGAGGAGGGGAGTGAAAAAAGGAAGGAAGATGCATTTTGTAGAGCAAAGAGAAGCAAGAGAAAGTGAATTGCACAAAGCCATGTGCACAGAAAAAAGCATGTCATGATTTTGTGACTACATCACTAGCTTTCTTGGAAGCTTTCTTGCAAAACATCATCATTGCAACCTCCTGAGACACCAACGAGGGCTGCCACAGCTGTTTCTGAAAACAGGTGTCCCCCATGGCTCGTGGGTGCCTGCCCTGGTGGGGCTGCCTGTTGCCGAGCGGGAGACACTGGTGTACCCATGGGCACACAGAGACCTTCCTACTCCAGCCATCAGCTGGAAACCACCTGAGAAAGACCAACAGATAGACAGCAGGGAAGGAGAGCAGTGGGGAGAGGACTACAGAGAGAGGGCAACAGCCTGGGGGGGCAGCTGATGCCCAGCCACACATGTCTAGAAGCAAGAACCAGACACCACCTGCAGCAGCGCAGACCCCACCAGGGACAGGAGTACAGCTGCAAGGTGACCATGTCCACATGGTCCCCACCATGGGCCAGGTGGGGAAAGTGCCTTATAAAACACTGTGGTGGAGTTAGGACTGCACCTAAATGCAGAGCTGTTAGCACCCGTCATTTCTTCTGGTGCTACGGGACAGATGGTTGTGTTGTCACGTGCATTTTCAAGGGGAATGACCACCAAAGGGGCACAGATATAAAGGCAGCAGGGCTGGTCCACAGGTGGAGTTACAGGTTAAATCTGGAAGGGTTGCAGGAAGGTATGAAGCACAGCTCTGTGTGTAAAACCAGCTGAGAAGCCCAACCAAAAGCAATGGTGAGGTTAGAAGCAAGGGCGCAGCCGTGGTGCACACCGTGAGCACACCTGGAGCCTGTTTCACAGCAAGGGACATGAGAAAAACCATGCAGCCCATCTTCATTTTCCCCTAGACCCCAGTTTCCTTCCCAACTCTAAACGCATGCTACCGGAGACCTGTGCAAAGCCAGATCTCACACTAGAGGTCCCCACAGGCCAGCAGAAACCCTTCCCGAAGGCCTGCATGATTCAAGTGGGCTTTCTGAAGGGAATAGATGGGCAGTTCCCTTCCCAGTTCCCCAAAGGTTGTCTCTGTCCGTGCAGGAGCCTCGCACCTCACTGCAGGACCACCTGAGAGGTCACAAAATCATCATCTACACCCCTTGGAAGTGCTCCTAGTCTCTCTACAAAAGACGCTCTACCTCCTTTTGTCTCCAGCCATAAAAACAGGCAACTTCACTGCCTCACCAAGCTCTCAAAGCAGGTCTGTAACTTTAAACACCTGGGTTTAAACAGATGTTTCCTCTGGTTTGGTTGCGAATGCCTATTCCTGGGTAGTTTGCCCATGTCCTCTGATGATTCAGATGCTTCTCCCAACTCCAGCGCTCGGCGCTCTGCCTTCGTGCCTGCTCCCTCAATTACCTGCTGCATTTGGGGGTGGAGGCATTTTCTGCTGTTTCTCTTTCCTCCATCTTACACTTCATCCCATATAGGTATGGCTTGAAGGATTTCTCTCTGGGGCAGAACATATGTGAATTTCTAACATAAAAAAATAATAAAGAGCAAAAGAAGTTACTCCCTCCCCCAAAAGAAAGTCAATAGTAGGAGCATTAGTCGACCTGGGGCATTAAGAGGTTGGGCTCTGATTGAGGGAGGCACATTTGGCACATGCAAGGGCACTACCAAAGTGAGTGCAGAGGGAGCATGTGTGCTCATCTTAACTGTGGCCATCGAAAGGGGATCTTTACAACACTTAACTTTCTCCAGGATTAAATTTCCTCTGGGTGCCGTGTCATTGGCATACACCTGCCTTGGCAGCTCTCTGCCCAGGGAGCCCTGGCGAGAAGCAGGTTGTCCCCCCAGCCCCATCCCGGCGGGAAGAGAGGCAGGGCTGGAGGCATGCGGGGGAACTGACCCCACAGCTGGCAAGCGGGCTGGACAGCAGCGTGGCTTTTCCAGCAGGACTAGGCCTCCTGCCTGCCCTGCCGAGTTTTATCAGTTGGTCCTCTTTGTAAGAGCGCAACTTATCGCTCCCAAACGCGGTGCAAAAACCACAGGTGATCACAGCTCCCGCCTGCAGCTTCCTCCCTTATCTCTGGTTATCAGCTGGAGCACGGAAAGAGAGTAGCGAGGCTGAAAATACCCCAGGGAGCCCAGGTGCCCTCTTCCTCTAGCCTTGTGGCAGCTTGCAGCCTTCTGTTAGGCTGTGAAAATACATACCGGCATCCCCAGCTGCACGGGTGTCGGAAGGACGTGCCACCTCATCCAGAAGGAAAGGATTGATTTAAAAAAGGGAACAAAGCCAGATCATATTTTTTGCAGAGCTAAAAACCTCCAACCCTCTTCTGAGCTGGAGGGAAATGCTGCCCACACTGTCAGATGGACATCCTAAAAGAGCTGCGGGATTTGATGCGTTAATGGGGTGAACTTGGGAGACTGAACACAAAAGGAGGAGAAGAGGCTGAATTCATGCTAGTGCTTTCTTGCTGTCCACTTTTCTGGCTCTCGCTCGGTCGGTGCAGCCACCGATGATGCAACAGCAGCACCCCAGCCCCAGTGGCTTGGACTCCAGCCAGGCAGCATGTAGGAGAAACCTCCCCCTCGGCTTTGGGGCACTGCTACTCGTGCTCCCATGAAAGGACGGGCTGGAGGCAGGGGAGAGGAGGTTGCCCCAGAAGGCAAAACTACACCTGTCGTGCAGGCAGGACACATCTGTGCCAGGTCCCTGCCGCCTCTTGGGAGCCTCCTCCTTTGCCAGCCCACACCACCGTTAGGGAAAATACATCTCCTCCATGGCAGAAAATAGCTCCAAATGTGGCAGATTTACAAGTGTCACTGGCTCAGCCCATTCAGTCCCTCAGCTACTGCCCGTAACACAGCTATATTCACCCTAGAGCTTGCTCGTAAATAAAACATGCCCATATCAAACCGCACCAAAGCCGTATGAATGACGGGAAGCCAGGGAGACCTCACAGCCTGTGTCTGCCTTCCTGGGCGCATCACAAGGATGCATTGTAAAGGCTGCTTAGCATTCATATAGCACATACGCACAATCAAAGCTAAAAATCAACTTTTAAACCCAGGGCTGTCTCTTTTCAAGAAGGGAAGGAGAGGAGAAAAGGGGGAGGTGCTGGGCTTTCCAAGCTTCAGATGCTCCATACAACTCCGCTGTGAATGGAAATAAGGCTGGCTGGAGGCTGCCTTGGAAGAAATGAACCGGAGAGAAATCATAAAATCTCCAAAGGACTTTTTTATTATTTCCAAATTGTGTCTCAGAAATCCTCCAGTGATTCCCAGGCATTTTGAAATTAATTGTAGGTGAGCAAAAAAAAATGTCAGAAGAGTTATTAAAAGTGTACATCAAGCCCAAGAAAGATTACATTCGAAAAGAGCATAAGCTGAAGACAGGGAGTTCACTTCAAAGAATAAACTCCAATAAACTTCTTTCCCCCCAAAAGTGAAACAACTGTACTCATAGCTCTAAAGCACACCCCCTACTTAAACTAAGTTCTTTTTTCTTTTCCACGTGGTATCTAATTGCAAACTGTAACTGCCCAGGAGCCAGCTGTGGTGGTGATAGACCTAAAGACACAACTCTAGCCCTGCTCTCAGCAAAACCAGTGCAGGCAGAGCCCAGCCTGGCAAGCAGAGATTCACCTGCTTACCAGGGAGAATGGGGCTGCTTGACTGCCCCTCACCATTTATTTCTGGCATTTGCTCTCTCGAGCCTTATCACAATGGGATCTCTATTGCTTTCCACTGAGGTCCAGAAAGTTCTGGCAAAAAACCCCAGAAGCTCATGTCAGCTGGCTGTAACGCATGGGTCACAGCAGGACTGACCCAGCACCTCATCTGCCACGTTCCCACCGACACACGTGCCAACTCAGGTAGCAGTGTTTTGCCCTCACCTTTGACAGACGCAAGAAATAACATGTAGTGTCAGGGC